TATGTTCCACTAACACATTCTATTAACACCTAATTAGAAGTTCATTTCACAGGAGAAAAAAGTAACAGACAGAGGTACCTGGCTGCCTCAGTTGGAGGAGCATGTAACTTTCGATCTCAGGGTCCTGAGTTCCAGCCCCAGACTGGGTGTAGATTACTTAATTAAAAAACAACAAAACAGATAATTAGTCCTGTATAACTAAATGTTCTATTTACTATTTCAGCTGCAAAAAAAATTCTTAAAATCATTTTACTGCAAACTCTTCCTCCAAAGATACTCAATATTCACAATGTAGCCAATTTCTATTTGAATCACCATTGACCTTTCACCTGTCCCTACTGAAAAAGGAGTAAATGTGTGGTTGAATGGAAGTTTTTCGGTATTTCTAGAAGAAAAGTCTACTAGAAATGAACATAGATCCTTCCTTCGCAGGCAATATAATGATTCATTCACTAACTGAAATACATTTGACATGGAAAGCCTAAAGGCAAGCCACAAAATTGGAAAGTCATGCACTAATTATTTCTAACAAAAAGTTTCTTTTCCTTCCTGGCAACCCTCTCTTCCAGGATATAAAGCCAAATGAAGCTGACAAATGACTTCATTTGTAAACACAATATGCCATCTTCTCATCCCCACCCCATCTAGATATCTGGACATCTTCCAAACTGAAATTCAGGAGAGATGCTTTAAACATGAAACTCAGGTTCATCTACTCTAAATCCATTCTTTCCCCTAAATGGAAATCTGACAAAACAGGAAGTGTTTGGCAGCATATAGGAGGAAGTTCTGCAGCTTATGTATTTACTGGTTAACAAACTATTTTTTGTGGCTGTGTAATAAAATGCAGAACTTCACATATAAGAGAAAAACAAAAAATTTGCCTTGGTTACCAAGGTTCCCTTGGCAATTTAAAAATCTTAAGGACAATTATCACACAGTACACTGAGGAATAAGAAACGAGAAGATGGCTTTTATTTCTGTTCTATTCTTTCAAATCCACCCCCCAATCCTGTCTGACCAAGATCTAAGCCACCAAAATTATACAAACACTGGAGGCAATTTTAGGACTACACATAAAAACTAAGAAACACAAATATTAAAAGGAAAAAAATAAGATTTTTGGTTTGGTTTGAGGGAATCAACTTGGGAGAAAAGATTTTGTTTATGCTTCCACAGGACTGGGTAGCCCCAAATACAAATAAATATAAATCCATAAGTGGGCCATTAGGATGAGCAGACTCAGTAACACACCATGAAACATACCATAAGCCACTGAAAAGAAAAAAAGAAAATGAATCCCCCTCCATGACTTCTTTCAGCTGCTCCCTCCATCCTCCCCCAACCCCCACAGCCCAATTCCATTGCTGTTGAAACTAGAAGTATTTCCAGGTAAAAATTCTACCTTGTTCTATCTTACCTTTTAAGCTATCACACTTATGAGTATAGCAGTATATCAAAATGCCCTGTAAATGTTAGACTAACAAATGATATAAAAGGCATTATTATCTAGTCCATTTTTCCCACCCAAAAAGCAGGCCGAGGTCCACAGTAAGTCATGAAATCAATTGTCAGTCATAACAGGCTTTAAAAAAAAAAAAAAGTGAACTACCAGAGAAAATACTGGAGAACACTGTACTTTCATTTGTTGTGTGTGGTCACTACACACACATACACAAAATAGAAACTTCACTATAATGAAATTAGTAATCTTCCTTAGCTATTATTTCAAAAGCTACCTGTCTTACCAAACAGTGAAAGCAATTAGAATGCCTATTAACTAAAACAATGAGGTAGGTAGGACATTAAAACTTCTGTCAGGATTTGATCCTATGTGATAGGAATCTCATGGGATAGGAATAGCAGCAACTTCCTTAAGTGATAAAATTATTGGGTCAATACCTGATACATCTGATTCAGATTCTCACAGGCTGTTAAAAATCAGTTAACCTTTCAGGGACATACAGATATTAGAAGCATGCTCGGTAATTCTTATTTGAAAAATATGGTGCTGGACTGGAACTATCAAGTATATTAAGAGCTGTTAAGTATCTAGCCCCGTGCTCTTTATCTATAAAAGCAGATATTCAAGCAGAGTAATGTATCCCAGGTCACAACCAAGGAGAACAGGCTTATGATTAGAACACAGAACATATGGTTTTCAAATCCAGTGTTCCTATGTTAAGATGCTTATTCAATCCAACATCCCACTGAATTATTGTAGAAATTGAGAATTTTTGAGCTAAGAGTACATACTTGCCACTTTAGTTTTATGAATGCCTAACATGAGCCTGATATTTTAACTTATCCCATTTCCCACCATTCCCATTTCTTCTAAATCTAGAGGTCAAGACCCTCTCAACATTTCAGTAACTGAGGATCAAGTAAGTGCCCTCATGAAATATCTCACCCAGTTCCTCTTCTGATTACCTCTACTTTTCATACCTAGAGGCATTATGGTGGTAAGAAAACTGTTACTTGTAAAGTGAGATTACTGATTGAGCCAGGTGGCTTATATGTTGTCATTGGCAGCAGATGTATTCTAAGTCCTGGCCAAACTTTTCACAAATTTGGACTACTGTTGATAAGGAAGATTGGTGGGCGGGTGGATCTGTGAAAAATCAGTTACTTAAAAAAACAAAACCAAACCAAACCTGCAATACCTCTGGTGGTTAATTAGATATACCACCTTTTAAAAAACAGCACGAAAACATTCTAATGAAAACCCTTGACCTGTGGACAGTCCCCCTAGTGCTCTACTCCCTATATGTTCCTGAATCTGACTTAATTCTAAAACCTCAAGTGAGTCATTTTAAGTAACTGATCAGGCAAGATGTTCCTAGTGTACAAACACTGACAAAGCATATTTTTACTGACATGCATTTGTCTATTAAATATCACCTTTTAGATTGCTATACATTTTATAAGCTTTCACTCCACAAGTGAGTACGTGCCAAGGTTTAAGACAGATTCTAAACTTACGAAGGTGTGTAAGGTACAGTTCTCTGTCTATAAGGATGTCTGAATTTAGTGAAGGGATATCTAAGTGAATAAAAAGCTACAAAGTAAGATAGAAAGTGACAGGAAATCATGTTAAGAGGAAATAAATATGAAATTCATATGGACAGATGACCTACAGCTGTAGAGGTTATCAATAAAAGTTTCACTTAAAAAGCAGTGTTTGACTATGTGGTGATAGAGGAACATTCTAGATTGTAGGAAAAGTGAAAAAAACAAAGGCCAGGGAAAACACAGAGTTTGTATAGGGGAGCCATGACAGTTTTAGTGTGACTGCAAATTAGTTTGGAGAGAGAGGTCTAGATTGCTAGGTCTAGACTGGGAGGTCTAGAATGGGAAGCAGAGTCTAGAAGCTTTATTTCTGTATATAAATATAACATATTCTTTTAAAAGCTGCCAGAGTGACAGTATGTAACAGCCTTAGACACACTAACAGCACTTAATATCTGATCACTTCCTAAACACTTGGCATCATTCTAAACACTTTACATGTACTAACTCATTTAATACTAATTCCAACATCGTCAGAGCAGTTCTACATATATTATCCCCGTTTTACAGATGGGGCAGAGAATTTAAGAAATTTGTTGTAAACCACCCTTCTCACAAGAAGCCTGGCCACACCTACACATTCTAAAGCTGGAAGTATCTTCTTTGCTATCCCTGAACTATTTTCAAAAGCTATCATTCTAATGGCACAGAGAAGACCTAAATCCTCTAAGTAGCTCCAATCACTTAATCTTTGAAAAGTAAAAGGTACCAAAGTTAAGGGATTAATAAAAGGAAAGCAATGGAAACACACAAATAACCACATTCTCACTGCAAACTAAAAATGCTGAAAATGTTGTAATGCATAAATGTTTCTGAACGTATTAGTTACTTTTCCCTCAATCCGTAAATAGATTGTTTTGTAACTCACAGCCAGCACTATGATGGGAAAAATTTTTATTTATTTTTTATTTTTATTATTTTTTTAAGATTTTATTTGAGAGAGAGAATGAGAGAGAGAGAGAGAGAGCGCGCGCACATGAGAGGGGGGAGGGTCAGAGGGAGAAGCAGACTCCCCGCCGAGCAGGGAGCCCGATGCGGGACTCAATCCCAGGACTCCAGGATCATGACCTGAGCCGAAGGCAGTCGCTTAACCAACTGAGCCACCCAGGCGCCCTGGGAAAAATTTTTAAATGCTTAAATGAGATCAAAGACAATTTTGATATATGTAACAAAGTGGCTCAAATTTCACAAGCTCATATCCCAAATGGGTTAGGTTTTATAAAAATGGATTAAAAAGGCAAATCAAAAAGAAAAAGGGAACAAAATTAATACTGTGATTGATAAACTGATATTTAAAAAGCTTTTTTTCTAAAACAAAATCATAACTCTTCCCTTGCTAAAGAGCAGAAAACATAAGATTTTCTAAAGCCCTAAGAAAGAAGGGACCGAGAGAGTAACTCGTAAAAGTAAGCTCTTCTTCTTGAAGAATACTCAAAAATTAGCCTAATCCATGTTTTATTTCTATTTGTTTTTTAAAAATATTTCTAATTGTTAAAGCCCTTCCTTATCAGTATAAGCGATAAAAGTAGTTTCCAAAAACAAGACAATTAACATTTTTACTTAGAATTTAGATATTTAAAGACTCTTAGCTAAACATTCATGTTCCACACACATCTGTTACCTCTCTGTATTTTGTTAAAAAAAAATTAAAACACACAAAATTTAGTCCACTGAGAAAGGGGAAGATATTTCACCCCACATATCTGAACACTTTAAAAGCATACGTATATTTTGTAAGATGTTATCTTAAAACTGTATTTTTTTAAATAACAAAGAACGGACTTCTCCTCTTTAGTTTGAGAATCATCTGGCTTCCCTGCACTTATTTTACTTACTAATCCACTTTAACTTTTCAATTTAAGTTGTACTTTATTTTTCTTTTAGTTTATTTATTAAGTAATCTCTAAACCCAATGTGGCGCTCAAACTCACCATCCTGAGATCGAGTCACATGCTCTTCTGATTGAAGAAGCCAGGTTGTACTCTATAAAGATCAGAAATAAGAAAGCCTTGATAAAAACACTAAAATCTAATGCAAGGATGGAATTAGAATTCAAAATACAGAAAACAGTGTAAGGTAGAGCACTTGCCTTGTCCCAATTAGGGACCTCAAAGGCACTTTGATAAAGAATAAATGCTTACCAGGTATTTCAAGCTCTAACTAGCATGTTTAAAACTGATTTCATTTTCCTTACTAATCAGTGGCCTTTCCTGACCTCCCAAATGTGTTAAATGTATGAACTACTCCCCCCTCTAAAATCTAGAGTGTTTTGTTTTCTTCTTTACCTCTGTAATCAAGTAGAAATCACATGCTGCCAACTTTTTTTCCCTCCCCCCTACAATCTCTTGCTCACCTATTCCTTCCTCTTTCTCCACTTTAGTTTCAAGCATGCTAATGCGCTGCAACAGTATCTTTATTTATTTTTTTAAGATTTAGAGAGAGGGCACTAGCAGGAGGGAGAAGGGGAGAGAAACCCAAGCAGACTCCACAGAGCCCACCGCAGGGCTCAGAACACTTAGCAGGGCTCAGAACACTTCACGGAACACTTAATCAACTGCAGTGCCCCCACTGCAACAGTATCTTAACTGTCTACCTCTAATTCCTGTGTCATTTCTTCAGTCACACTGGACACTGTTTCCAAATGATTTTCCAGCAGCACATCTTGGGTACATTGTACCTCTCTGTGTCTATTCAGAAACCCTCAAGAAAAATAACTAAAATTAAAAAGGAAGACTGTATGGAAACATATCTGCAGCAAATTACTACTAAATATATAACAAACTCAAAGAATTAAGAAATAAAGTATCAAGACTGCTACATAAATGGACAGAGATCTTGAAGACAGAACTTGTCTATTACTATGAATCAATAAGTGAAATTACAGAAAAAGGTCCCACTTCACTAGTTAACAACAAAAATACTACAAAGGAGAGCTCAACATATTTTGCACCTATTAAATTAACAAAAATGATTATAATTATAGGCTACCCAATGCTGACAGCTAAACTTAGGGAGGGACAATAATCCTAAAAGAACGGTCCAAAAGACAGAAGATATTGTACGCACATAGATGGTAATTATAACACAATACTGAAAAACCAGAAACCCAAAAGGTCAAGCAACAGAAGAATGAAGTTGAAACAATTTGATGAAGTATCTTCAGACATTAAAATTTTAACAGGGACTGTGTGGTCACATTGAATGCTTATTACAATATTAAAGAAACAAATAAAAATAAAAGTTCATCTAATTATAAAGTAAAAATATGCATATGAACAAGGAAGAAGGAAATTTTAAAAATCTGATATTAGAGTGAGATTAAAAGTGATTTTTGTTTACTTCCATTATGATTTGTAAAATTTGAGATAGAACAAAAATAATTTTCATTTCCTGCTCAATCCCAGCTTTCAAGGCCCTCTCAAGGTTCCCAAACCTATAGAGAGGACAAGCACCCCATGTAATTCCTGATGTGCAGCTAATTCTAGAAATGCTGACAAACTGGCCTCACACAATTTTCCCCTTATAATCTTTAGTCACTCATCTCCAAACTGGTTTATTTACTACCCCAAACATAGCTTTCTTCATATAACTGAATTCTTGATCACAACTTTCCATGCACTAAGAAAATCTAAGATCTTCCCTTCTTCTAATTTTACAAATTATATCTCACTAACCTTGAAAACCCTTCAATGATCACTAAGTAAATTTCTTTTTGTTCTGCATTATAAAACAATGTGGCTTGGGGCGCCTGGGTGGCTCAGTCGGTTAAGTGTCTGACTCTTATTTTGGTTCAGGTCATGATCTCAGGGTTGTGAGATAGAACCCTATATCGGGCTCTGTGCTGGGGATGGAACCTGCTTGCCTGCTTAAGATTCTCTCTCTTCCTCTGCCTCTAATCCTCCCTCTTAAAAAAAACCCAAACAAAAAAAAACCCCAGAACTACAATTTGGCTTTTAAAAAAACAATTAGATCCGATTGTATACTGAACTTTGACAAATCTATTATACTCGTAAGCCATGATTTACATCTTTAAAAACTTACCTAAATTGAATCTTTTGAAATAACTATATTAACTTTCCATGTTTAATTATGTTTTCTTTTATTAACAATAAGCTCCTTGAGCACAGATCCTTGCCATGTAGAAACATCACCAGATACCTAGATCAGCTTGAATCCAAATCCTAAAATATGACATCACTCTAGTTTGAATTATATGTGGAAAAACCCCAGTCATCTATGCCTCCATGTGGCCATAAAAATCAGCAGTGACACCTAATAGGGCAAAAAGACTATACAGGGATTGCAAAGATTGCTTTGTTAACAAATAAGCAAATTATGTAACTTTCCAAAAAAATAACGAAACTATTAGGAGAGCAGGTACATTCAACACAGGATTCTGTTCTATTTCTCAACACAGACATTTACAGAAACTGTACGGTGGAACAAATTCGATCATTTTTCAAGATACATGTGTACGTGACATACATACATAAAACAGCAACAGCCAATCTTAATTACTAAATAAAAGGTAAAGTAAAACTACATACCAGAAATACAATTTTCGATAGCAGATCCAGGTCTTTTAAAACTGGAACATATTCCTTCATTTTCCCACAAAATGAGGTTTATTCTAAAAGACAAAGACTTCCTTTAGTTTTGAGTATGCCACAGTCCTCAGAACATAGACTATTTTATAATCTCCTTAAAAAACAAAGAAACAAAAACTTCACTTCTAAACACTTTTACTGATGAAATCCCTATATGTCAACTATTTTTAACACGGGCTCAAAAAAAAAAAAAAATCAGGAAAATGTTCAATGTTCCGTGATTAAAAATCCAGAAATGGGAACCACATGAATGAATAAACTAATCCATAGGAATGTTCTAATTTTGAGATTTCAGTGTAAACTACTACCTTAAGAAACTAATTACATAGCTTCACTTGAAGCCTTGACCAAACAAATAAAGCATTCTGCTTTCAAAACAGCTTTTCATCATTGAAACACCATTAAAAATTTTGGTGATTTTGATTTTGTAGGGAACATTATTCTATTAGTTTGGGCTCATTGAAATAAGTTACGAAAAACAAATATGTTATAATGAATTTTCTCTCACTAATACCTAAAAGATGGTCTAATGACTGTTCAGTTAATATTCACCTACAGTCACCTTCCATTAATATATCTAAAGTCCTCAAGAATTCTCAATGGACTCTCTAAATCTATATTACATTAGCAATTACAGATCAATTCAATATTAAAACAAGTATTTGGATCATTATAAGAATTTTGAAGGCTAAGATAGCATCATCTGTGGAATACTACAAGTTCTTAGAAAAGTATTACTGTTAAAGAAAACATTAAGTTGGTTTATTTCACATATTTTACAAGAGTGCACACAGGTTCATAACAAACACTGACAAAGCACCTACCATGTATCAGGTAGGGAAACATAACAGTGATAAAAACCTCAGTTGCTGCCCTCTGGGAGTGGAGTCTCAAATAAAGAGCCTAACAACTGCAAAAGAAACGTGATGAGAGACAATATAAAGAGTACTATGACGGTACAAAAGCACCATGAGAATGCACATAAGGATAGAAAACTTCAAGGAAAGCTACGAGGAAACATAAACTCACTAACTATACCATAAAAACAGTATTTGTTTTCAGTATCCTCTAAATGTCACTTCTGTGTAGCAAAATACTCCACTGTACAAATACCTAACTAGAGTCAAAAATGTATTAAATTTAAGGAATCACTTGTAAGGTCCAATAAAAATTCTCAGAATTATTTTACTGTATGTGTGACTTAAAAACTATAGTTCTACTTGAATAAAGAGACCCAGGAGAGAAAACTAAAAAATAAAGCAAAAGAAAAAAACAGAAAAAATAGGGGGGAAAAGGAAAAAGGACAGCCAAAAATATAAGTGCAGTAAGAACAAAGCTTTCTGATGGACAACTGTACAAAGACTAAAGCCTTAAATGTATAATCCTTTTGGCCTTATATTTCCATTTCTAGGAACTTATTCCAAATAATCAGGAACGTACAGAATGCCTAGGTATTTCAGCCACAGACGACAGTTCTCAGGCAAAATCTTTTGTGAAACATGCACAAACATACCAAACATTAGATTGCTATTACAGAAAAATTAAAGTATCAGATTATATAAAGTATGGTACATCCATCCTACAGAACACTATGCAACCATGAAAAATGCTCTATGGGCAAAATGTTTCCCATGTTCCCAGTACTCTCCATAAAGAAGAAAACATGAGTGACAAAATGAGCACAGCTAGAATGACCTTTATCTTATAAAAACAAAGCTGATGAAAATGGGAAACCCCTCTGCATTATATGTAACTACAGTATAAACTGTAATTACCTTTTGGTAGAAGGAATACAAGAGATTTTTGTTTTCTTTTTTTGGCTTTTTAGTAATTTCCCAATGCCCACTGACATGCGTTATTTGGATCAGAGAGTAACTTTTAAGATGGGTGATGAAATTATAGGTGATTATCCCCTGGACAGTTCAGCAGTATTGTATTGTTTTTACTATTTTATTAAGAAAAAATAAATCACTTCTCTTTTAAACTTTTACTGACACATCTTTTCTACACACCAAAATTTTTCAGTAAGGAAGAAAGAAACCATGAAAATGTTCATATTATTCTGTGATAAAAATATTAAATATTTAAAAATTCAGAAATAGTAACTACATGAATGGATAAATTCATAAGAATGTGCTAAATTTGAGATTTCATTCTACAAGATCACATCAGGAAGCTAATTATACAGATTCATTTGAACCCCTGGCCAAACTAAGCTTCTTTCAATAACTGTTCTTCCATTTGCGCTATTTATGGCTCTATTGGTACACAGCACTGGTCCATAAAAACTTTTCCAGTCTACCCAATTCTAAAGATTTTTACAGAAATAACTCACCTCAGTAATACTTAGGATATGTCACTGAAAGTCTTGTTTTCTTCAGACCAACTGCCAAAAAAACCCCAAGAAGTTATTAAATTACATAATCGTTTTTAGTCTGGAGACCCATCAATACAGCAATAGGATTCAAAAGACAAGTATTAGGAACATAATTTTAAGCAGCTATCCAGACCAGTGTGCCTAGGTCACTCAAAAATACCTACATTCCACTTTCTTAAGTAATTTTGAGAAAAATCACTACCATGAAAGAAAATTTCAGTTAGGTATTATTCTTTTTGAGTAAATTTAGTCAACGTGGATTTTCGACGATATTTCACATTTTTTTATTTCATTCTTTAAAACAACTTGCCAATTCAAATTCCATTTCCACCATTTCAAATGTTGGGTTTTTTTTTTTTTTTTTTGACAGAGCACAAAGATTCTGCTAAAGTAACAAAATCAATGGCTGCCCCGAACAAAGTTCCTATCGGGGAGGTCCTCTTATTTAAGGCATTTTCAGTCCCTACAAAACCACTACTATTTCCTTGCAGAGTAGCATCAGCCCCGTGCGGAAAGGCACAGCCCCCTATCTAAGGTTAGAGTAGCAGAGTCTGGGCTGGCCAGTGAACTCCCCCACCCTGCAGCTTTCGGCAGGTTCCTCAACGCTTAATCGTGTTGAGGAGCACGCGGAAATCTCTCTCCCCACGCAGATGGGTCTAAGCACCTTGCCTTTCCCCGTGTTAATTAAGGAGGCGCCCACAGCGGGTGGCACTTGGCTGGACGATATGACAAGTTCCCGAAACGCACTTCTAAAGGGAAAAAGAACTGATCGGAGAGGAGACGCCACAAAATCTCTTGAGAGGCATGCAAAGGACCCGCCCAGAGAAAGAGACCCGCACATCCCCTCCACCCCTTTCTCTCTCGCGGCGGGAGAGGAAGCCTCGCCCCTTTCAACCCGCCCCTCCGCCCCCCCGCTCCCCACCCCGCCGCAGGGAGACCTTACTTTGCCATGGCCGCCGTGCGGCCCGTCCACTTCCGGTGCCGGTGCCGCTAAAGCTGCGCCATCCCCCAGTCACTCGGACAACCACAGCTTCCAACCGACCTTTTTGACAAGTCCGCGACTCCTCCGACCTTCACTAGGTGCTGTCCTGGAGTGAACGGCGGATAGGTGCCGCACTAAAATGAATCTATGGGATAAAGCCTCGGCTCTCCTCTCGCCAGAAACATAAAAATGCGATAGAGCTACGACCACCACCGCTCAGACAAAATGGCGCCGAGAAACGGGCTTAGCGCAGGCGCCTTGGAAAGACCCTGCCCCGCCCCCGTGCAAATCCTGGCTGCAGCTCCGGGTTCGGTTTCCATGGGACACTTCGCCGCCAATCCTCGTGCCGAACTGCTCTTCCTGACCCCCCAATTTACCAATCAGTGCTCAGTCAAGCACATCCGGAGTCGCCTCAACCAATCATTTTTCAGGACCTGATTACTCAATACCCGATTCTCCAGTAACGTTAGGCTTCGGAGACAGCCAATCATAAGTGGAAGATGTCCTACCTGCTGTTTTTCGCACCAATCCGTGAAGTTTCATAGCTACATCCAATGAGGACGGCAGGTAGCGAGCTCCAATCCGAAGCTCTTCGGCGTCATGAGCAGCCAATAGGAGTTCGTGTAGAAGCGAGTCTGCTCAACAGCTTGTTATTTGGTGGATTGTGGCAGTAAATCGGGCGAGTGGGGAACCGGGCGCAGGAACTGCTGCCGCGGCCGGGAGTGGTGCTGCCCGGACTGGGGCCCACGGGGGTCAGTGGGGCGGAGGACACGGCTGCTGACAGCGCGCACTTCACCCGCAGTTGGTAGGTGGGGAGAAGGGAAGTGGGGGATACTGAGTGGACGAAGCGGCAGTAGCAGCTCGTGCTGCTGCCCGGGGTCCCGGTGCAGTTGGAAGCTTCGGAGGTGGGGAGGGGGTGCTGGGCAAGCGGTGCGGCTAGCGCAGGCAAAGGGGCAAGTCGTGGAGCAGCGGCAGCAACTGCAGGAACCGCCGCCGCAGCCGCCTCCTCGGCGGCTTCCCCGGGAAAATGGCTGTGGGGCTGGCCGCGCCGCTAAGTTTGCTTCCGCGCGGTGAGGAGCGGGCTGCTTGGGGGAGCCGGTCCCCAACTCCGCGGCGCGTCCTCCCCTGTGGAGTCCGTGGCAGGACCCGAGGGGCCGGGGGCAGGTACCTCTCCGGGCTGTACAAAAAGTTGAGGCGGGCGCGGGGAGGAGGCGGTGGCTGCCGCTGTGCGGCTCCCCTCCCCTCCCACACCCTCTCCGGGCCACCTCCCCTCCTCCTCTCCGCCCCCCCCCAGCCCCCTCCCTCACGCGGGTCTCCCCACTCTCGCGCCTCCTGGCTAAAGGCCGCGGCCCCTGCCCCATCGGTGAAGAAGCGCTTCTCCTTTCTGACATGGTGCAGAGCGGAGGAAGGAGAGCAATGGCGCCGTGACACTCCGCTGCCGCCACCGCGGGCCCGGGGCGGGCCGAGGGGGCCGAGCGGCGGAGGCGGGGCGCGGGCCGAAGTCGGGGTATCTGGGGGGCGGCTGAGCGAAAGCTCGGCGACCCCGCCTGCGGGGGACCTGGGGAAGCCCAAACGGCGCCCTGCCCTTTTCCAGAGCTCTCGGTCCTGGGGCTCCGAGTTGAGCATTTCGGGTCAAAGTGGCGAGCAAGGCGGGGGCGCGGTGGGCCGCTGGCGAACTCCGGGGAGGAACGGGCTGCCCTTTGGCGCCCGAGGGGCTCTCGCTGCTTCCTCAGCTCCTGCGTCCTGGTTGCCCTCCGGGGGATCTTATCCCTTCGCTGGTGAGGGTTTAGCCTCTCCCCGCTGGCGTTTGTTTACTTTCTTTCCTTGGGTCGCTCCCCTCTGTTGACTGATTCTGTGCCTGTCTTTCCCCTCCCCATGGTTCTAGCGACGGAGAAGATAGCTCGTTGAGCTGGAACCCCACAGATCACCAATAAAAATGAAGGTAAGTGGAGTCAGCGCTGCTCTGAACCTCGTGCCCTGGACACTGCTTGTCGTGAGGCTGGTGCTGTGGAATGTCATATTTTTTTCCTACTCAAAATTGATTCCTCTACTAAGCAGCGCTTTCTGAAAATGAGGACGTGTTGAAAGGGTGAGAAATGATCATTGTGTCTAACGCAGTGAGTCCGGCCCCTCTCTGAAGCAGTTAGCACTTTGGAAAGGCTGGTGCAGCCTTTCCATTGTTGTCCATTGGGCTAGTATTTTTAACACTTCCTGTGTTGGCAGCAACCTTTGCAGAAGTAAAGCTTTTGTCCTGTTTTGGTTCTTTGGGGGATTTTTTGAAATTTTTTTTCTTCCTCAGTGCCAGTATGATTTTCTAAGGAAGGACTATGTGCATTGTGTAAGGGAGAGATCATTTCTTTTGCGAAAAATTCTGTAGCTAAAATATTTGAAGGTGAACTGAAACTAATGTTTTGTTTTAGTTGTCATTATAGTAAATATTTTAAAACCTACATATAACCTAAAAAGATATATTCTTCTGAAGATAGCTAATAGTGCACACATCGTATGTGATACTTTTAGGGAAAGGAAGTTACAGCATTGTGTAGTGCAGTGGCATTGAATATTTCAAGTCAGATATTTATCTTCAATTTGCATTATATGTAAATGCACTAACTTTAAAAGGTACTTGATTCCTTACTCATTTACTGTTTAAGTGTATTAAACTCTGAAATACAGCATTTCTTTCTCTTCCTATCTCCTGGAAATGACACATTACCTTCTTTAATGTTACTTGGGAAAACTTACTGGAAAAGCAAAAATCATTTTCTACTAAAAAGTGTTATTTCTGAAGTGTACACTGTAACCTTTGCACTTAGCGATATTGAATCAAGCCTATATGAATACATTTGAATCAAGCCTATATGAATACATTTAACTTTAGAAAAAAAGGTAAAATGACAGACTTAGAATAACAATCAGTCTGTTACTTCAAGATTAAAATGAATGGTAGAATGAAATTTCCCACATCTTTCAATGTATCATTCTGATTATGGCCATTTGTTGAAAGTAGATGTTTTTTAGTAAAGCTTATTTTTTTAATATACCAGGAAGATTAGTGTGATATACTAGGTACAGCACCAAGTTTTGAGCCGTTAGTTTGTATCTCTGCATTTATCAGCTGAATTTAGACTTAGATTTTTTTATTTTTTATTTTTTCTTATTAAAGATTTTATTTATTTATCTGACAGAGAGATAGAGAGAGAGCACAAGCAGGGGGAGCGGCAGGCAGAGGGAGAGGAAGAAGCAGGCTCTCCATTGAGCAGGGAGCCTGATGTGGGGCTCGATCCCAGGACTCTGGGATCATGACCTCAGCCAAAGGCAGCGCTTAACCGACTGAGCCACCCAGGCGCCCCAAGACTTAAATTTTTTTAAAATGTAGATTTTAGCCATTGGTTCCCCCAAATAATGCTTTCGTTATCGAAAGGATTGGCTTCATTTTTTTTTTTAAAGATTTTATTTATTTATTTGACAGAGAGACAGCAAGAGAGGGAACAGAAGCAGGGGGAGTGGGAGAGGAAGAAGCAGGCTCTCCATTGAGCAGGGAGCCCGATGTGGGGCTCGATCCCAGGACCCTGAGATCATGACCTGAGCTGAAGGCAGACGCTTAATGACTGAGCCACCCTGGCGCCCCTTGGCTTCATTTCTTAGTCTATGCAGTTATTCTGTATCCAAAAAGATACTGCTTTAATGTAGCTATATTAATAAACATTTAACTATGTATTATTAGCATTAATCTTAATAGCATTATTTCTTCTAATTTGAAGACAAAATTTTCAGACCATAATTAAATAACTTAAAGTCTTATACTTACTATGAATATACCTTTTCTGATTTTGGAGGTTTTTTTTTTAATTTTGTAATTTATTATTATTTTTAAAGTAAGCTCTACGCCCACCATGGGGCTTGAACCCACCACTCAGAAATCAAGAGTCGCATGCTCTACCGACTGAGCCAGCCAGGTGCCCCTGTTTTGTTTTTTTTAAATATGTTCATTTCTTAAATAAATTAAAGAATTGTTGAAACATTTTGTATCTGGAGGAAAAAACATTATCATATGTCCTTACTGATACTTCTCAGTTAAAACTTAAAATGTTTTCTGTTGTCAGGATGTAGTTTATATAGTAAAGGAATGTAATTGCTTGCTTTAGGGGTATTTTCCAAATTATTAATGACATTAGTAAAAAATAATATTAATGTTCTTACTACTTTAAGTATAGAAACTTTTAATGAGGCTTGAGGTTGGAGTAGGGGAGAATAGTAGTGACATTCATTTTATGTTCTTTCATCAGGCGGCGGATGAGCCTGCCTATCTGACAGTGGGAACTGATGTCAGTGCCAAGTACCGAGGTGCCTTTTGTGAGGCAAAAATTAAGACTGTGAAAAGGCTGGTAAAAGTAAAGGTAATTTTTTTTTTTTTAATGCAACCTGGATTGAAGAGAATTGGGGAGGGGAACACTGCAAATTAACATTTTATTGAATCATTATTACGTGAAAGCACTGTTATATACAAAACTGTTGGAAAAGCACATTAAGAATTAAGTAACTCACAATGAGAAGTTATTCCAAAATGCTTCTCTGAAAATACCATGTTTATGAGACTTCCTTTTATTTGGCTCTCTGCTGTTGTGGCATGCTTACTTAGGCTATCATCTGTTTTCTTCCCTTTCATAATGTTCAGGTAGAGACGATTTCAAGTGATTATTAAAAATAATATAGTGGAAATTGTTTTTAAGACGGTGTTAGAAAATGATTTAAGAAATGTATTTTTTTAAAGATTTTATTTATTTATGTGACGGAGAGAGACACAGCTAGAGTGGGAACAGAAGCAGGGGGAGTGGGAGAGGGAGAAGCAGGCTTCCTGCAGAGGAGGGAGCCCGATGCGGGGCTTGCCCCAGGACCCTGGGATCATGACCTGAGCTGAAGGCAGACGCTTAATGACTGAGCTGCCCAGGCACCCAAGAATTTTATTTTTAAGATGCTTTTATGACCAGAAAAAAGGTCACCACATTATTCCTGTACAATACTTGGAAATACAGAAAAGTACCAAAGGATTAATACCCATAGCTTACCTCTCAGAAACTATTAACATTTTTTTGTTTCCATCCAGTAGTTTTCCTATATAAATATTTTTAATAATCTTACTAAAATTATAAGTGTAATCCGTATTTTATTATGAACATCTTTAACATTACAGAGCTGTATAATAAAGTTCATGAATGTCTTCTTTGT